GTCATATTGAGTGAAATAAAAAGGCGAAAATTTTAAACATTTTCCAGCAAAAAATTCGAATGGCATGGGCGGGGAAGTCAAAAAATTATGAAATTATTTCGGTCATTAATTCTCACCTAAATACATCTAGTGGGAAATTCAAAATTTTTGCCAAGATTTCTAGCAAAGATGAAGGGGTCTTTTTTTTTTTTTTATTGGGGGGAAGCCTTATTTCGGTCATTTTATCTGACCGAAGTAACTGAGAATATAGTTTGGTCAAATATTCTGACCGAATTAAAATGAATTTTAGATCAATGTTTTTCCTTTTTTATTTTTTTCCTTTAGTTTGCCTTTATTTGGTCAAATATTTTTGACTGAAGGAAAGGAGTAAAAATTTTTATCCTATTTCGGTTAGTATACATGACTGAAATAGATAGGTACAATCCCTTGCTGTTTGCTTTATTTCTTGCTTTTTGACATTTCTTCTTTTTTATTTAATCTGTTTCAAACTTTTTGATGTAAAATTTATAGTAATATAATTTAAAAATTTTATCAATTAATTAGCTATATGTTTTTAAATATATATTAAAATATATAATTAAAAATTTTATCTAGAAACACATAAATATAAACATAACTTAATATCATAATTAAAGTATCATGTCTTAAAATACTAATTAAAACACTATATTTTACTCTCATATATGTCCATGCATATATAATAGTAGAAGATGTTTTTAATACAAATATCAACTAAAGACAAAGAAAATTATACTCCCCCACTTGTCCTAGCCCCTTCTCCTCCTTAAATAATCAATATTTATCAATCAATTAAATAATATAATTATAATTTTATAATCAATTAATTATAATCACTGAAATTAATTATAATTTTAATTAATTAAACAATTTAATTAATTATAGTTTACTTAACAATTAAAGCATGTAATTATTATTTAGTAATCAATCAATTAATTAATATCATCATAAATTACTAATCAATTAAATGGTATAATCATAATTTTATAATCAATTAATTGATTAAATTAATCATAAGTTACTTATCAATTAAATAATGTAATATGATTTTCTAATCAATCAATTAATTAATTTAATTAATTATAATTTATTTATCAAACATAATTTATAAGTTCTTGACTAATTAATCAATTAATTATCATTATTTACCAATCAATTAACTAATAGAATCATAATTTTTTAATCAATTAATTAATTAATTTAATTAATCATATAATTTATTTAACACTTAATCATGTAATTATGATTTAAGTAGGACTTAAAACAAAATAGGAAACTTGATTTTTGTACGTTGAACGAATGGTATCGACACCTCTATGATATGTCAACACTACACCTGTGTCAAGTTTCTGACCTCATTTTTTAATTTTTTCAATGGTAAAATAGTAGATCTGATCCTCCATCTTTTGTACGATGAGCATTTAGATCCCAAAACTCAAGATTCATTCATTTAGTCCCAAAGAGTCACCCTTCTTCTTGCAATTCAGTCCCTCAACTTTCAGAAGATGTTCAATTAATCTCAAAAACTTTTTTTTATGCATTCAAGTCTTTTTCTGCACAAAAAAATGAAAATCATGTAAAATCTCATAAAATTCATCCAAATATTAATAATATCAAAGCAAAAATTTCACATTAATATATATATAGATATATAAATTTAGCTCATCAATATGTAATTATGATTTACTAATCAATTAACTATAAAATTTATAATTAATTATAATTTTAAATCACTTAATCAATTTAATTAATTATATTGTACTTATCAATTAAATATTATAATTATAATTTACTAATCAATTAATTAATTAGTATAATCATAATTTTTCAATCAATTAAAGAATCTAATCATAATTTACTAATTAATCAATTAATCACTATAATTATAATCTATCAATTTGTTAAACAATTTAATCATAATTCTCTCTAATCAATCAATTAATCAATTAATCAATTAATCATACTTTACTGATTACTAATCACAAACTTTTTTAATTCTTTCTAAACTAAATTTCTAAAAAAATAAAGGAAAAAATTTATACAAGATACCCCAAATGCAATGAAAAATGGGGAATCTTGCAAAACAGAATTTTCATGCTTGGTTCGGTCAATGTGCCTAACCAAAACATGCAGGAAAAGTTGACCTACAAAAAAATAATGTATGTTTTGATCATGAGGACTGACTGAACTAGTCCCAGCATGCTTGAACTGCCACTAGTTCCAGTCAAATCACTTACAAAATACTGTTTTGGTCCCAAAACAGTAAAAAAAAAAAAAAAAAAAAGTTGATCACCAGCAAGTTACTGTGCAGTTTTTTATTTCGATCAAGAAATTTGACCGAAATTCATGCAAGATTAGAACCGTGACTTGCTTTATGTCACATCGATTTAAAGTTTTTTTTGGTCATTTTTTTTACCGAATTAATAATATTTTATGTTATTTCTTAATATTTAATGTTGAAATAAGTGGAGATTTTTTTTTTATTCGATCAGTGTAGTTAACTGAATAAATTCTTTTTGATGATTTGGTCAAGAAATTTGACCGATTTGTTTTTGGCACCAAATTAATTCGGTCAAAGTTCTTGATCGAAATCATATCATACCAAATTGTATAAGTTTTTCCATTTTTTGCAGACAAATTTTATATTCGGTCATTTTATTTATCCAAATTAATCATTTTTTTGGTCAAAAAATTTACTTGACCGAAATGCTATGACCAAAATGATTAACTTTCTAGTAGCGTTTTAAATAGATGAAAACTTTTAATGGTGAACCATAGGATCTTATTTAAAGATTTTTAGTTTTTAATTTCAAAAAGATTAGATGTAAAAAAAATTGCGTTTATTTTTTTAAAAAGGAAATTTCCTCATCATTTCTGAATTGGATATGGCCCATGTGTTACAGTGAAAAAAAAAAGGGGGGGGGGAAATGGTTCATAATTCTGACGGTATATAGCCACGTGGAAGACAGGATGTGGGTGTGTTTGTAGGATGGCTGTTAATGGAGGCACATCAATGTTCCATATTCCATTCTTCACTCATTCGGCTGCACTCTGCTCTTTCGAAGAAAGTCTATTCACCCTCATTCCATTTTATTTGACCTGTCTGGTCAACACAAACATATCCCTTATAACATGGCACCGGAGGTTTACCTGGCTAAGTGTAAAGGAGAAACGGACAAACGAAACTGAAAATTTTGGAAAATTTTATTTATGGTACACCCACTAAATTCCTTTTTATTATTTAGTAAAGCCACGATTTATAATTTTATATAAATAAAAATACTTTAATAAAATTTATCATAAAGATATTAAGAATTTTTATAATATCTATAATATATTTTTTCAAATATAATAGTTAAAATCTTGAATTTTTATTAATATTAGGTAAACAAATTATCATAAAATTAAAAGGTACATAACAATCAAAACTCTCTTTGTACAATTTTTTTTAGTATTTTTCTCATCATTAGAGATAAATGTATTTTATTTAATTCTAAAACTCTCTCTACATGACTATCATAATGTAACTCGCTTATTAAAGATTTGTGCTACTTACCTTGTTTTATCCTCAAAATAAGGGCTATACCATATAAATAACTTGAATTTGGTACGTTAATTTTTTAAAACATCTTAGCTTATTGGTTTATATATTAATATTTTGTAATAATAATTTTCTTTGAAATTACAATTTAGATAATGAGTAATAACATAAATTTTAGGTAATTTTTTTTATATATATTGAAGGTATATAATTTTAATTTTCATAAATGAGAGTTTTAGTCTTTCTTTTACATGTCAAAATTCTAGTAGAATAGAGTTTTTTTTTTATGTCACTAGTCAAATACTCCATTCATTTTTAAGAGACATATTTTGACTTTTTTACTTTTCAAGCATAAATTTTAAATGAAAATTTAACAATTTATATAAATAATAATTGAAAATTTAACTTTTTGAACATCCTATATGAAGTTTTGTCCAGTATTTTTATTTGATAAAAAAATTTTAAATTATCATTTATATAATATATCAAATTTTTATCTAAAATTGATGTTCAAAAAGTTAAAAAGTTAAAGTAAATCTACTAAAATTGAACAGAGGGAGTATATAGTTTGATTATTTGATTTTCTTCTTTATAGTATTGTAGTTGTGCCCACTAAGATAAAATCCTAGCTAGCTCTGTCATTGTATGCATGAGTACGTCTTTAAGTTTTTCCCCTTTTAATTTTAGATAAAAAATAATAATTTTTTAATAAGTATATTGGGAAGTATGTTGAACTAAATGATATTTATATTACTGTTTAATAAAAAAACATCTATTATTTAAGACAAAAGGAGTAATGCAGAAAATGAGTATTAACATGCACTTTTAATCTTAAAACACAAGTTAAAAAATCTATAATAATAACAATAATGATAATGATAAGGTTAAAATTGAAAAAAAATATTTATCTTTTTTAAAATATGAAAAAATGACTATTATTTTTAGATAAATTGTAAATTAAAAAACATATATTATTCTGAAACAGAATGAGTATTATTTTTATAGTTTATCTATCCGCTACGTAATTATTGAGTAATAATAATTATTATCCCCTTCATCTTAAAATAACTATCATTTTTTTGACTTCTTTCCTAAATTAAAATTTTGAGAATAATATTTATATTTATTTAAAATACCCTTAAAAAAACTAAAAAATAAAAAGAGTTTTTTTGTGGTTGAATGATTATTTAAAATGAATAGATAATTATAGAGTTAAAGTAAGAAAAAATATTTATTTACCTTAAAAATAAAAGATAAAATTATTTTGAGATGAAAAATACATCTTTATGTCTTGAGAAAGAGAAAGATGGTTTTTTTATTTTAGTTGTAAATGACATTCGCCAATTTTTTAATAGTCTATTTTAAATTATAACTAACAATTTGTCTTATCAATTTAAAATTTTATTCTTTTCAAAAAATAAGTGACAATCATTACTTATTAATTATTTTTTTGTTTCAAAATAATAAATATTTTTTTTGTTTAAGATTTATCCTATAATAATAGTCACTTTTTAAAAAAAAATTTTAAAGTGACAAAGAACAATAAATGTTTTTTTTTTTAAGATTTATCCTACAATAATAGTCTCTTTTTTTTAATTTTTAAAGAGACAAATATTTTTTTATTGTATTTTATGATTATCTCTTAGTTTTAATTATTCATCATATCATTAAAAAAATCTCTTTATTTTTATTTTTTTAAAAATAAAATAATTAAATATAAAAATTGTTCTAAATCTCTAATTTCAAGAAAAAAACGTATGGAAAAAGTACTACTTATCCTTTAACTATAATAAACAAACCCTAATTATCATTACTATTA